GTTTCGCTTCGTTTGCGATGCCATTTGACCGACTCATCATCCACCTTATAGCGGACTTTGGGGAGTGGAGCTTCTTGTTCCGTATCGTGCTGCTGCCATTCGGAAGAAGATTCAAGTTATGAGTCTCACGATCTTGAATGTCTCGTGTGCCTTCTGCTTGCCCTTTGACATAGTCCTCCGCCCGGAAGACCGGTTTTTGGCTTTTTTAGCGAGGGAGCTGGGCCAACATCATCCTTTAATTGGAGAAGTGCCTCCGTTCGCTTAAGCATGACGTGATGTTTCGTCAACTCTCTTAGTCAAGTCTTCATGGTTCCTGTCGTGTAAGCAGAGACCTCACGTGCGACCACAAACTGAAGATAAGATTCAGCAATTGCGAGTGTTCATCGCTCAGACACGATCCCCTGGCTAAGTCCTTTGATAATTAGAGACCGGACGATAGCTCCTGTTAAGTCGAGTACGCCGTATATACTCCTTTTCCGAATTCGTCACAAATTCCGCGGACACGTCGGAATTGACTTTTTTGTGATTCATCCCTAAATCGGTATGTGAGGTTTCCCTCGCCAACATATTGATAGTGACCTGAGGGTATTCTGAGCTTCAGGCTGTCTTCTTTTTGTATCGGCCCGTTGTCGTTTTGGCAGGTCTAACGCACGCTTTGTCAAACCTGTCGAACACAGACTGTCGAACGGGGCGCTTCGGAGGTGTGGCATGCACAACAATAATTCTTACAGGTACTGGCCGGAAAGTATAAGCCTCTCAACATTGCCAATGAGTGAACTGTCTTTTTACTGTTCGCGTTTTCCTCTTAGATAATAATTTCGCCCAAATCGGAACTTCGCGAGGAAACTTTCCCCGCGTGTGGAGGCAGAGATGGAACCCCCCATTGGCCCTTGGGTGGGTGAAATTGCGTTCCTGGATCGAACGTGGATCTTGAAAACCAAGCCTGACTTTTCTGAAACCTGGCGGGACCTCTGAAAATCACTGTTCTTGAACAAGAACAACGCTAGGGTCGCCCGTTCTTGAAGAATAACGCCGAGCGCGTTGCGCTGGATTTTATTAAACACTCTACGGCCGAGCGCCTATGTTTAATGATGGAAACTGACCGTTGACGCGTTATGTTTTGGAACGCTCATGCTCGGTAAAATTTCAGAACGATTCCTTTTCGGGACACGTCTGTTTATAAAACATTAGCGGAAAGTTCTTTTGGAACGCTATGCTCGGGTAAAATTTCAGAACGCAATCTTTGCGTTGGGCGGAACCATTCGGCTTTCACGCAGGTGTGTCGTCT